CTCCGCAGGTGCCACCATCCCCTACTTCGCGGAGGGCTCTGGGGGGCCCGTGCCTGGCAGCGCCCTGACCCTCCTGCCGGAGTACAGCTCGCGGGGCCACCCCTATGGTGAGCGGAGGGCCGGGCCGGCGGGGGCAGCCAGGGGCCTGTGCGGACACGCCCTCTCTCCACAGAGGCCCCGCCGTCCTACGAGCAGAGCTGCGGCGGTGCTGGCCTGGCCTGACCCCGGGAGCTGACCCCGTGCTGCCTCACCAGGCCCGCCGACCTCCCCTGGGCCCGGGCGCCCGGGGCCCGTGCCTTCGCCCCAGCCCGGCCCGGCCCACGCAGGCCCCGCTGCTGCGGGGAGCCCCTGGCCAGCTGGGGGCAGCCCTGGCTTCCCCAGCCCGCACCCGCCGGGGCGGACTCTTCTGTGAATAAAGTGCGTCATTTGCAGAGCCAGGCGCCGGCCGCCTCTGGTGCCCCGCCTGCCCGGCCGCCCGTGTGTCCGCGGGGTGTGACCGCGCCACGGCCCCGAGCCAGACCAGGCTTTGCAGTGAGAGGCGCGGTGGAGCTGGGCGTGAGCCCACGCGGAGACCCGGCCACGCACTCGGGCCTCCCGCCCGCACCCCCGCTCCAGCCACGCGCCGGCCAAAGCCTCTTGTCCCGGAGGGTCCCGGAGGGTCCCCTGCCCTGGGGTGTCCACGCCCACCGCCCACACTCACCCACAGGCCTGTGGCGGGGGCTCAGGACCTCCCCACTGGGCAGTCGCGTGGGCGACGCCTCTCACAGGTGCACACACAGTCCAGGCTTGGGAGGGCCCGGGGGGGCTCTGGGCCGGGTGGCCACGACGAGGCTCGGGGTTCGTCCCCACTGGGCAGTCGCGTGGGCGACGCCTCTCACAGGTGCACACACAGTCCAGGCTTGGGAGGGCCCCGGGGGGCTCTGGGCCGGGTGGCCACGACGAGGCTCGGGGTTCGCCCCCTGACTGCCGTCGCCGAAGGGCGGGCCCGGCCAGGTGTCTGTCCCCCCATCTGTGGCAGGCCGGCGGGCTCAGAGAGGGGGCCGCTGCCGTGACAGGCGCCTGCAGCCAGACTCCCCGCACCCTGCGGCCGGTCCACCTGCTGCCGTCACGCAGTGGCCCGGGCGGGAGGCCCGTCCTGTCGGAGCACCTACCCCCACCAGCCCTGGCTACCAGAACTCTCCCCCAGGCCGCCCAGCCGGCTGAGACCCCCGCTGCGTGGTCAGGACAGCGTGGCCCAATGCGGAGGCCGCGTGGCCGTCTGCGCGGCCGGGACTGCTGGCCTGGGTCCAGCGCCGTCTCTGCCTCTTTGCTACCTGGGTGACCTGAAGGCCCCTCTGGAAGGTGGGTGAGGAGTGGCTGGGTGGCCTTGCCCGGCCCTGGCCTGCGCCCCCCGGGTTCCCGACTGCGGACTGGCCGTGGGGGGGGCGCCTGCTCCCCGGCTCGTTGATTCAGAGACCCGCTGCCAGGCAGCCTTGGGGCGCGCGGCTCCGCGGGAGGGTGCGGGGAGGGCCCCGAGGTGGGCCTGCCGCGAGAGGACGGCGGCTCTGCCCGGGAGACACCGCG